CCCCCAACTCCAACGGCGGCGGTAGTTGGAGAACCCCTGTTGTCGAGAAAAAAAAAGTTGATAACATATTCGCCAGCGGTCCTTATCATTCTCTCGAATCGAGTGACGAGTCATTTCTCTGGCCCTCGCCATCGGCGTTGTTACGTTTGAGTTTTGATGCAAATTCAATTTTTCCGCATTGTCGTTTAGAATAAAATATTCAGATGTTTGGTAATTCGAGTTGTCGGTATTAATTTTAAACTGTCGATGACGGGCCAAGTCTGTTACTTTTGTGATAGTACACATTTATTGTTATGCGGCAATCGTTATATTATAAAGCGCCGATTAACGGTCCTGCTTATTATGAACCTATAAAAAAACGTACTTGGTAAACTCGATTAGAATAAAATATTCGATATTTGGTAATACACCTTGAATTTCTTGGTCTGTATAATTGACGAGCCTATTACAATATATATTACGTGTTTGATGAACGTGTTGGTTTTTTTTTTAAGAAGAGGGAAAGGTTTAAAACCAACTTGTTAAAACGATAAAAAGTTTTTGTTGACAACAAATACACATTGTGCTCTGACTATGTATGTGGCCGTAATATTTTTGAGCATGTAAAAAAAAAACTTGTTCAGTATGCAATAATCAAGTAGTTACTGGTTAAGGTGTATGTGCCAGCCAACAGTATTACGGCCAAATGGTCAACGGTTAAAGTGTTAGTTTAATATATTTATTTCTATTATTTATTATTATAAACAAATTGTTATGTTGGGTCGCCCTCTCTTGGGCTTGGCCCGGGTGATCACTCTTCGCTTAGCTAAACACTAGATGGTGTGCACATAGTATCAACCTTAAATCCCAAAGTTTTTAAATATTTATCAATTTACCAAGGTTCATTGTTATATAATGCTTTAATACCATATGTGCAATATAAATAAGTATCTTACGATTAAAATAAACACTTGAGCAGTAAAAAATATATGGTAAAAAATGGATAGTACCTCTTGGGATGGCTTTTTATGGGTAGCATGGAGAAATGTTGCAGAAATACCCGGGATTCATTTATTAAAATCATCTTTTGAACTAATAAAATAAGATTGTATTTTAACGGTGTTCGATACTTCAGTATTTAACCATGCTTGATACTTACAATTTTATTGTTCATTCTTATCAATCAGTATTAACCAATATCCTATCTTTGCATAATTCCTGTTCGGACGACTTCGTAAGTAACATTTTAATCTTATTATTCCTATGAACAAAAATGTCATCTGAGTCAAAAGAATATTTTAACGGTGTTCGTGGATTCCACGTAACCGTGTTCTAATATATTATGCGAATAGTCAAACTTTCATTCCTCACTTTGCAAGTTCTCGAGTATAGCGTCAATAGCATTTTGTTATATTAACTATACTGAGGAAAGCATTCTGAGGGTGGGGTGAACACTTTTATTTTATTCATGTTTAAATAATTTCTATTACCTTTTTGTACACCTTACATTTTGCGTTATATCTTTGGGCATAGCCAATTTTAAAGGATTTGGTCATTTCCATTTTGATGATACTGCTGTGCAAGCCGTCACCAACCCAACAAGTCTGCACCAGTACTTCCCAACCACCCTTATATTATATGCAGCTCTAATATTGGTCGTATGTCGTCAGGTGAATACTAATAATTTATTAAATTATTAGTAAGGATCATAATTAAATTATTGTATAACGATAGTTATCAGACTCCTTTTAACGATGCTCTTACCTATGTGTATTTAACCGTGCTTAAGGAGTGTAGGTAATTTTAAAACATTTAGTTTAAACTTGTTCTTATTTTAATAACGTTCGTTTAAATGTATATTTTTTTTTTGATAAAACATTTTGTTAGAAATAAACAATTTTTATTAGCGTTTCATGAAATTATTGTCCAATATTTGAAATATTTTTCGAACACAATTAGTCAAAATGTTAAATATATTATTAATTCTATAAATTAAGGTAATTTTAGGTGAATAAGTTGCTGCCATAGAGTAGGGCTGGCGGTATTTGATATTTGAATACCGGTAATACGGTATTCAAATATTACCGGTAATTACGGTATTTACCAAAAATACACTATTTACCAAAAATACGGTATTTACCGAAAATAGGTATGTATCGGAAATAAGGTAATTACCGACAATTTTGGTATTTGCGGTAATCTTTGTAACTATCACACATAATATATAAGGTGTACAGAGTATACGTACATTTTATATTATAGCGTTCCTCAAAGTTATTCAATGTAATTTTTTCCATAGATTTAATAAATAAATAAAATTATAATAGTATAACGTCTGTAAGTTAATTGGAACTATTTGTTTATAATATTGTAACTGTGATTATTTTTAACATTGTGCACATGAATAATCCGTTCCTTTGTTAAATTTGCCATTCATGTCATGATGTCACGTTGTTATATTGACTTATTCTTGAAATATATCAAACAAAATTACCTCAAACTAAAATATGTAATTAGATGTACAAAGAAAAACGTTTGCCGTCTTATGTCCTGTGAAAATTATATTTTCTTATGTTATCCTATTATTTTCATGCGTTTTTATATTAGATATTATACAGTGTGATTTTTTATCATGAGCCGCTATTGAATCTCACTATTAAATCTCAAAGGATTTAATTAGTAATTGAATTTTTTTTTTGCATAATGCTTTTAAACAATGTGATCTCAATATCTCACAAGTTTTTATGTTTTAACCCCACCCAAACTAACTATTTTTATATAAACTTTTAAATGGTAACGTGGATATTTTATTTACTCTTTTCAATTAAGAATATTTTACTATAAAGGAAGTGCACAAAAAAAAAAAGAAATTCAATCATTGACAATTTTATTTATTACTTTGTCTTTAGATCGGCATGTTTATCTGCTTAAAACTTAATACTAGATTAATGAATATTAATTGATGGTAGTTAAAAAATAATGTACTAATTTGTAACGAAATTGTATGTGTTCGAAAATATTTTAATAATCTCCCTCCTCCCAGGAGAAAGGTTGTGAAAGTTTTTTAAAATTATTTTGGCGCTGTTTTAAGATTAAAGAACTGAAACTGAAGTTTTTTTTTGGTCAAAGTTGGACAACGAATGATTCGGATTTTGGTTATATTACATTAAATTAAATATCCATCTTAAGTAATTTGATAAATTATGAATAATTATTACAAACACTAATATTATTAGTAATTTCAAAGATATAGATATAACCTAAAAAAATATTATGAAAATACTACAATACAAACAGCGCATATGAGAAAGTATTTATATGAAAAAGCCGGACAAAATTATTTAATGAACTTAAGTGGTCAAAACAAAATAAATAATAAAATTTAAATTACAAAAAAACTTACAATATAAAACATTATCTGATAAATTTATCAGGGACTTTGTTGAATAGGGCCCACGCTTTTTAATGTAAATCTTTTTAGTCAAAAATTAAAGATGCTTATTATTTAAAATTGTAGTTAATTTTCGGTTGTTTTCAAAGTAATTGACATTTTAAATAAAATATGCTACAATTGAATGGTAAATTGTTCTTGTAATAAAATAATTTTTTACTTTTTAGTTTACTTTTTACTATTTTTTTTTTTAGGAAAGCATGTTTTTAAAAAAGTTTTTTTAAATTTATATTTTTAGTTTTTAGTCCTATTAAAGGTATTTAATGATTGCTGAATAGATTACTAAATTAATTTTGGAAGATTTGGAAAAACATGAAATTTTAGTGTAATGACCCCCACATTTGACCCTGTGTAAGGCGACCTAGATGTCCGAGTCCCAATGTGATTACGTGATATTGTATTGTCATCCAAGATGAGTGTCTGAGCTAAGTTTTAGCCCTCTACAACATCGGAAAGTGGGTAAAATTAATTTTGCAAGATTTGAAAAATACCCGTACAAACGTACGTACGTGTTAGCGAACTAAAGAAAAGCATGTAAAAACATGTAGATAATCATAAAAAATATCATTAAATCATAATAGAAATATGTTTTTGTTTTGTTGATTTATTTTTACAAATTATGATATTCGCGTTGTCCACATATTGCAACAACTCTTAAAAAAACCTAAATATTGTAAGTTTTTTTTTTTTTAATAATTTACTACTTCACTGATTAGTAGTAAAAATTATTTTTTGGAACAATTAGAAATAAAGTGTACAAATAGTATCTATTTTTTTTGGTTTAATAAAAACGTTTAATTAATAAAAATAAATAATTGTGAATAATGTCGTTTATAGAAATTTGCTAAGATTGTAGTACAAAAAAATAATATCAGGAATAACAACATACATAATAAACTATTGTGAAACCTACCTTCTTAACTTTTAAGCTAGAATTAAATGTGTTTTTACGATTCATACTGAAGTGTCCAAAAATTAATATCGAAACATATAAAAACTGAATAAATCATTGCATACGTGTTAGCTTCTGTTTTATTTTTATACTTTGTAAATATTTATTATATTATCATACACTTGGAAATGTATAACTATTATGGTGATGACCCACAAGTGAGCACAAACTATTCGTGTATATTTTATCATTTAAACTTTTCAAGATTGTTCCTACGCAATAATTCAAGCGTTTGGTTTTGTGGAACATTCTACTCAGATAACAGTTATCGGTCGAGTTCAGCTTTATAGTATAATATTATTATAAGGAAAACTAAACGTTAGAACACGTATAGTGTAGGAATGTTACAAGGAACCATGTAAATAGTATAAAATGCTAAGAGGCGAAATGTATGAACGACATAATTTAGGTTGTGCGAATAAATTGGCAAAGAAAGAACCGGATGATTGCAGAAAGTGATAATGTAATTAGCACGGTGAAATATTATACGCCTCAGCCCGCAAAAATACTATTGATCGTTTAAAATAATGTCGAAATAACTTTGACCCATCTGAATTGATTTATGTTTTGATGACGCACAGCGCTACCGTCGCTTTCGGCGCCTGGACAAAACGCTGGATGTGTAGTTTACCCTGGATATGCCGCTCTAGCAGTTTTGCAGCTACCCTTACACGAATAAGACGTCCTTCGGCCGGCATCGATCGTCCAGAAAAAACTCAAAGAAAATTGTTCAAGGCCTAATCGTTCAACTTATCCGAGTGAGTATTGTTTTATCGTTGTTATTTTAACAAAATATTTCAACCGAATAGTCGTGAGCGGCGTTAGACGTATTTTTTTACTTAATCCAGCGACACGGTAGTGGCGCGAAGCTAAGTAAAAAAAATGGCGAGCGCTTACCGGGGTGTGTATACTATACACAAAACACCGCAATCCCATTAAACGCGTGTAAATTTTACCATAAATTTCGGAATGAATTTGTGGGCCAAGGGCTGGACAGAAATGCACATACGAGATATCAATAGATTGTGAAAGTCGTGTAGATCGGATCGAACAAACTAACTTATCGATTGGTTGAATACTTTCTTAGTTACAAGCAAAAAAGTAGTACAACATTTCTGAGGTTTCCAGATACATGTTTTAGTAAAAAAATTATTATGATGACCGCGCGGTGCCAGACGTTGTGCACGATGGTGAGGGGTCGGATCGGGGGAGTCCCCACCATTGTTATGTCTACAGCTGTTTGTTGTGTATTGTGCTGTACCTTGTGGTGTGTTGTCTTTGTGTATAAATTGCTAATAATAATACTGACGGTTATTACTTTATTTTTATACTAGAGCTTCGCTCTAGCTGGGGGCTCCGCCCCCAGGCCCCCGAGTCGGGCGGGTAGGTCACAGATTCCCGGTACTGTACCCGGCTACGCCGGGCACGCTCACGTCCCCTCGCTGCAAAGTATTTTCGGGAGGTCACAGATTCCGAGGGGGGTGCCCGGCTGCGCCGGCCACGGTATGTGGAAGTCAATGCACAACGGTTCCTAGGGGGGTGCCCGGCTGCGCCGGCCACGGTGTCGAGCCATCGCAATACGTCTTAAAGGAATGACGTTATAATTCACGGTACCTATAGGCTGTATCTAGTAATCAGAATTCATACCTAGTTATGGACAAATATTTTGCAAGCTAAGTACTGATTAAGTGTAGAGTAAGTCTAGCTATGTATCTGTAATTTTTTTAAATTTTAAATTGAAAAGAATAGCTAGAAGTTAGACGGTTAATAAATATCAAGTGTCCGGTTTTGCTTACTTGGGTTGTTACCACTTTTTACTACCAATGTCCAGTTCCTTATCAGTGGGCGGAATTCGTGTTGAAAACTGATAAGGACGGCATATCTCCGAGTGTTTTACCATTCGCTCGCTCGGCGCCGTCGCTTCGCTCCGCCAACTAAAAATATCCTAGGTTTGTAGGCTACAGTCTATGAGGAGGTAACAGGTTTAAAATTAAGTTTAAATTAAAATTGTAAAAAGTTAAAGAGACTTGATAAGAAGCTGGCCATTGGGAAAAAGTGTATAATGGAAATTGTCTTTGGTAAAAGTAGTTATATTATAGACCACGTCATCAATATAGGCCGGTGTCATCCCGCTTAACTTTATGAGTTTAAAACAGATAAAAATGTCTAGAGGACAGTCAGCTAAATGTCTGTTAAGGTTTGCCTTTGTGAAACAAAATTTGTTTAAACGTAGTATGTTATATGTCTGTACACAGCGGTTCCGAGTGGGGTGCCCGGCTACGCCGGCCACGGTGTCGAGTCAGCTCACTATGTTTTAAAGTATACCGTTATAATTCATCGTGCCTTTATCCAGTAATCATAGTTCATACTTAGTTTCGAAAAAGTGTTTTGCAAGCTAAGTACCAGTTAACTGTAGTGCAAGTCTAGCTATCTGTCAGATCAGAAATGTCCTACTACTAAAGCGAGTGTGCTACTTGCTTAAAGTACAATTATTTTTTTTTTTTATTTGAATTGTTTGAGGTGTTGTTTACTTCACGGGCTTGGTAATAGCTATGGTTAAAAATAGATAGAAATGTTTAGAGGTCAGTCGGCTATATGTCTGATATGGTGTTCCCATGTGCAACAAAACTTTTTCAAACGTATACGTTATATGTCTAGATATTGGTTGAATTAAAATCCTTATTTGTTCAGAAATCACCGTCTATGCCATTATTCGGTAATGACGTACTGTACATTTAGAATGTAACCAACAGCATAATGCATTAAATATGTATATTAAAGGTCTGGTGGTTTAACAGAAGTTCATAAGTGTTTAAGAATTCAAGAGTAAATCACATGAATGAAATGTCTAGTTTATATTAAAACTTAAAAGGGAAAGAAGTGAAGAGTGATAAATACATTATTATTGATCGACTATTTGGCAGAGCTTATAAAAATGTCCAAAGAGAGGTTAAATGAAATGTCTCGATGCAAATCTTTTAGTTTTTGGATCTGGACCTTTAATGCTAAAGGTACTTTGATACTTAAGGTCTGACGTTTGTTGGTTATTAGAAGTTTAAAAGTGTGGAAGAATGATATGTTTGTGTGACGGTTACTTGGGAACTCAAGAGTACAAAACATGAATGAAATGTCTGAAATAATTTGTAGCAAATATTTTTGATTATTCGAGTGTCCGGCGGTGATTATAAAAACGGTCAGAGTACAAAATGATAATAATAATATTCAGTGCATAAAATACCTAAATTATTTGATACTTATCCAGACATATTTTATACATAATAGATAAATTGATATATACATTAATACTTTTTTAAGTAAACCATGAAAGGTATAAATCCATATGTTGATATATTTTTAGATGGCTAACCAACAATTCATCCTACTAAATGATAATAATAAACAATTTTTAAATAATTTTATTTTTCATTATGTAGGATCAATTTAAAAAAATATAGCAAAATCTATAGATTTACTATACTTTTTTAGGGTGGAGCGAATACTTATATTATACTTCTATAAATAATAAAATAGTAAATTAAATGTCGATTTTCAATATAAATTTTAACCCTTTGAAGCACAGCATTTTTATCTCCGATTTTCTCTGAACATGATTATGAAGGTGGTAATAAATATATACCACTGTGCGAGAGTAGGCTATTTTTTGAAAAAGTGGTATATTACTTATACCACCATGCTTCAAAATGTTAAAATGCAATAAAATGATTTGAAATTAATATTTTATTTTTATGTTTTAATAATGCCCTATGTCTGAAATCACACCACCAAAAAACCAAAATATCAATATTAATAAGTATCTAATTTAGTTCAAGCTATATCAACAGCAGCTCAAAAAAAATATATATATACATACATATAATATAAAAAATTAACATTAAATAGTTAGTAAAAATAAATGTTCAGACAATTTTTTTGATTTTTGATTACTACTCATAAAAACGGTCTAAGAACACAAAATGTTGAACGCTAAAATAATCTAGAGACAACTGTTTTAAGAATTTAAAAAGATGATATAGGGACTTCTGCTGATGCTTTTAAAAAACATACCTATAATTTTTTATTATAAGACTGTGTAAAAATGCATTTATTCGTTGGTTGAATAAGTATTATAAAGCCAGGGAGTAAAAACTGGAATGATTAGAGCATATGAATAGCATAAGATGTTGCTATGTATAATGCTATGTATGTTGCTATGTATAATGTGATTAAAATAAATTAGATCATATAATATAGTTATTTCTTATTAGAGCGGAATGAACACATAGATATTTTATGTCAATAATGTATATAAATTTAAGCACACAAAAGTAGCCCCAGGTGTAAAAAACTAAAAATTGATTGTTTTTAGATCCGAACAATTTTTATTCAGTGCATCGAATATACTATTATTATTATTTAAAAAAATATTTTTCATTATATATATATATATATATATTATTATTTTAACAACAGTAAACTTTTTTTAAATTAATCCATGTATTATGTTATTTTTAGATAGGTATATAAATGTTTTTCTACTAAATAATTTACAATAATACTTCCTAAAAAAAAAATTATCTGGAAAGTGAAATCAGATACATGATTTAAAAAGTAAAGTTATATGTTTGTCAATTTCAAAGAATACAAACTATATTTTCAACTTTAATGACAATTATTAGATTTTTTTAGCTTGAATTGTTGATTTCCACATAGCTTACCTACAATGTCTGAATTTTCCAAAGTTAAAATATTAAAACCACAAATTAAGTCAAAACACAAATTTTAAAAACCCTAAATGGTTAAGTGATAGTACTCGATAGTGATCATACATATTTATATAGGTAAATCATCCTACTAAATGAAATAATTAAAATGTATTCAAATAATGCCAATTTAACGTGAAATAATATATCATTAAAAAAATATATATAAAAAAACTAAAATAATTTGTATTCTATGTAGTGATCACAATTGTACAGCTTTAACAAAAAAATGTGAAATAATTAATGTTTTAATTATTTGTACATCAGTATCGTATGTGTGTGCACGTTTAGAAACTAAAGCGTTAAGAGAAGTCGGTTAAGACACTGTATAATGAAAAAAAAACTGTCAATTTAAATTAGGGTTGAGTATAGAGATTAGATAGGCACTAATTATTAAAAAATACTTCATAAATAACAAAAAATCAACTTCTACGGTGTAAGTTCTCTGTTGGCCGCAGGCAAATTAATCGATGACGGCATAGGATAACAGTCTGTAACCGATGGTAACAATAATAACTACTTATTGTATTAATTAAAGACAGAGTAGATAGAAGTAGCAATCAATCTTCTAAACGGACACGCGTCGGTTATGATTTCACTATAGTATTGGCCTAAAACAAATAATTTACATATATATAAAATAAGTCAGTAAGTTATTTAATTGAAAATAAATAGTAGATATATATGTCAACAAATTTTTCAACAAAAAATATGAAATGTATCGTTATCACCACGCACAGCGGTTTGAAAAAGATAAGAATTTTGTACATCTAATTAATTTGATAATTTGGTTTAAGCAAAATGTAATATACTACTATACTATATAGTATTATATATATTCTAAATCTAAAAAACGTACCGACATCCAACGACGCATATTAATAGGTAATGTTTGCACACCGGGAAACACGTCGATTTCTCTTGAACGAAAACCGTGAGCGAATTCGGACAAATATGTAATTAATAATAACTATTATACGTTTAATATATAATTATATGTATATAATATAACAAACTACAAAGACAAAAATTCACCAAATAAAACAAAACACGCCGTTCGCCGTTTTTAATTTTCATTATTATATATATGATAACGTTTGACACACCGGGAAACACTATTGAATAAAAAACCACGTATGACAATGAACAACAGTGTAATTAATAATAATAATAATCATTTTACGTTTAATTTAAGCAAAGTACAAACTCGGCAATACAACCCCCGTCACCGTTATTATTTGATACGATAACGTCGTGACATGATAAAAACGCGCGCCAACGCCACGCGCTGCCCAAGCCGCCTTTATGCTTGTCTATGAGCCAGATGTATTATACGAATCCCATGGAAGAGACGATTAGGCGACTGGCGGGACGTCGACTATTTGAATTGACATTTTATTATTATGATTATTATGATTTATAATATAAAAAAAAAAAATACTGATATCCCAACAAAAACCCTTCGTAAACTCGGTGTAAATGGTAGCTAGGAAAAAAAAAAAAAATGTTTCTACATAAGCTTAAAATACGTGATATAATATAGGAACTAACTAAGCACCATAATGTAATATATTTATTATACATCGTTGTCAACAAATAAAATCATTCGACATATCAAACCAGTCATGAAAAAATCGAAATTTAGTTTACTTGGCCGGAAGTCTGTTTTCCTGCTTCCTACCTAGTAAATATAGCACATGTTATAATAAGGACATAGTAGGATAACTATAGTAGGAAAAAAATTTAACTTCCAAAATATGTAACACTCTCTTTCCAAACAATACCTTGTGATTTCTTAACGCACTACACCAGTTTTCACTTAAAATAATTGATATGTTGTCGTTTTTCAAAACATGTTTGTTTATGCTGTATTACAATATTTGACCATATTCAAATTTTTATGTTTTTTCTCGAGTCTTATCATCTTTTGAAACAACGAGTTTTTAGGTTTTTAACCCCTTCTCAAACTAATTATTTTTATAACAACTTTTGAAACTTAATGGTAACGTATATGTTCTATTAACTTTTTAATTAAAAAAAACTTGCTAAACATTTTGTAGGGCGTTAAAATAATCCCCCGGTATATACCTGTACCTACTTTTGTCTAAACACATAATATGATGTACCTATATTTGCAACCAAATTGACTACTAATTATGTACACGAAAGTCACCTATACTTAATAATAAAAAATACATTTGTCATTTATTTATTTTTGCTTAATTAGATTTAATAGGTCTTTTCGTCTTTCAGCTTACGTGCGATCGATCAAAATGGGACCTATAAACATTTTATTCTACTTGTTTTACATCAGCATCCTCATGGCAGTAGGGTTCAAATTCAGTTACCGCCACCTTTGGACTTTTTTTGAACTACTGAGTAAGCACATTAGTCATGAAAAACAAAAAATACATTAAATAATCAGCAGCTTATCTTGATGGTCATGAATTATAACTACCATCGTCGTCTTTCGTGAAAAAAATAATTAAAATAACGACATCCGTCTAGAGATACCGTCGCTTAAGATGCAACCTCATAGCTCATTTTTCCAAACTTGACAGGAGATTAAAAAAAAGTCCGTTTCAATTACCAATATTACCATTCTATGACGTTATGATGATTATTCGATTATAGCGTCATCTATTGTCTTTATGATAATTCCGAGCCCGTCAGTCGATTGCCTGCAGAGTACATTAAAGCACAGTGGACACGTCTTAAAGTAATAAAACATTTTCTCATAGAGTCCACTATCTTGTCATTTAACCTAAAATTATATTTATACACAACTCATGTATAGAAAAATCCACTACATTGATTTTAGTATTATCGTTTTTTAAGTGTACAGGTATAAAATAAGCCCGGGATTTCCCTCGTAAATTGAAATAAAACAGTGTGGCCAACTTGAAATCAGATATGAGCTGCTGTTGCATCTTGAACGACGACACGCTATAGTTGAACCTCGAATCGATCGGGGCTCATAGAATTTAATATAATAATATTTAACGCTTTTAACGATAACGATTGTTTGTAGTAATATTGATGATTGATGGCCAACTTATGGAGGTATACAAACCAAGCAACTTTGAAATCGACGCAATGTGGAACAATCAGAAAACGACACTAACAGCCATTTTTTATTTTGTGCTACCCATGTTAACAAAGCTGATGCCCTTCTTTGTGTTTATATTTTTTAAATATAAGAGTCTATTCCACTTAATGCGACTATGCATAAAAGTCACCGGTAAATGGAATGAAAATGGATATTTGACCAACTGGCCTTTGAATAATTCGAATAATTAATACTCGGTTATCGTTGGTAAAACACTAATAATATTAAAAAATATTCTTGTCTTACTAACCGGTTACGATGACCAATAGTACAACCTAGTTTTTGCGATACGTCGGTGTAGAAATTAATATAAACTGACGTTAGACTTAGATTATTTTGATAGCAAAATAATATTATTACACATAATATAATAATAATCATATATAAATGGACTGTAGGTCACGACGTGCCGTGATATTATATCACCTCAGTATCAATAAACAATCTTTATTAAATGAAAATTAACTAAATTTAAACGTTACTACAATTTATCTACTTTTCTTGTTTTATTTTATCATTTTATTTAAAAAATTAAATTTACAGCATAAGAAATAACAAAATGCATTTAAAGTATATAAAATTTAAAGGTTTTTTTAACCATTTTCTGCATATGGACTTAACATAAAGTTTTTGTGAATTTTTTTTTAAAGTATTAGTATTTGTTTTTTTTTGCACTTATTTGTAAGAACGTGAATGATTATACAAATATATTAACTCATATTTTCCACTTTCAAATGTTGTTTTTTTTTATACATTTGTTTTTGTAATATCATATGTGTACCAAACCTTAAAAATATATGTTTTTTCCAATCATTTTTTTATTGCATATTAACTGAATTTCTACCATTACAATTAAACAATTCGTTTGCCTAAACTTGTACATTTATTAGGTCTCTGTTACGATGGATTCTGGCAAATCCATGCGTATTGTTTGGTAAGCATTTGAAGTATTTTTATTTTAACTTTCGACTTATTATCTGATTCTAATAGATTAGTAAATATCAGATAAACACAGACAATGATACTAAGATTTTCGGTAGTACAATTTGTTAAGCTATATAATTTTAATCAAACAAAATAATTAAAATTTACTTTTTGGTAAAAGTGATTTGAAAAAGGTGATGCACACATTCTCAGTTCCTTATCGAAGTTAAAACACTTTTAAAAGTGAATTTTTAAAAAATGTTAATATAAAAGTCCGTGTAACATGTTTCTGGGTTAACTAATTTTAAATGTTGCATCAGTTTGGATACACACAAAATAACTATTTGGCGTCGCTGGGCCAGATAGCAATTCCAAGATCAGAAGCAACTACCGATCGAACATGCAAGGTGGAATATAGAGAAAACAACATTATTTATCTTCACTTACTCGTCGCTTACTTATTTTATACTTATAATATTTATGATACTTAAAATCAAGCGCAATATTAATGTCACACAAACTCGAACAATCGTTAGAACCTAAATAGTGTGACATTTGTTTATGATTACCGTAATTAAAGATATATAGTACTACGACGAAGGACAGACGTGTTGATGGGTTTATTTTACACTGTAATTGAGTTAACAATGCCGGATTGTAAGAGTCTAATGGTACCAAATAAATCTGATAAGGTAACGACCGATTAAATTCTAATTGGAAAATATGAAGTCCATGTGAGAACCGTAAACATTAGGGACAGAGTTGGGTTGATACGAGTTCAGAAATGAAAAGCGCTCATAAAATTATAACATCATATTTATCACATTTTAGAGGTTTCGAGGTTTGCTGCAAAACGTGTGATTTCCGGACTTCATACGTCTAAAAAAAAAAGTAATAGTTTTTTTTAGAAAACATTTTTTTTCATAACACATCATTTTCATTGTTTTGAAAAATATTACAATACATTTTATTAATTTATTTATATTTACTTAATCTTTAAGTAATAAATAATTTAAAAATAAATGTAATGTATGGAAAATAAATATTTATTTCAAGAAATTAAATTTTTTCTTTTCATAGTTTTTTACACAATTTTTACCATTTTTTTTTTTGTTTTCACCTCTTTCCAACAAAGTTGTTTTAATAGCAACTTTTGAAACTTAAATGGTAACGCATAGATTTCATTAACTATTTAAATTGAAAATAATGCACTAAAAATGTTGACTGGTCGATATCCAGTTTTGGATAGCTATTTTTAATGTTATTGAAGTGTCATGTTTAGGGCAGGAGGATTGTAGTATTATTTTTAAGTTGAACACCATTCACCATGTATTTAAATTGATAACTTAGCAAAATATATTGACACGAACTATTAATTGGTAATACGTACAATAACCTGGTAAAATATTAAGAACTGTAGAAAAATTAATGCTTCTTCATGAGATCATATTTAACCTATCGATCATTAATGATTAATTATAAAATAAAATAAAAAAATAATGAGTACCTGGACTATATAATAAAACACCATTTTCATCTTCAAAATTATTGTTTGATTCCAATGTTTTGTTTAAAAATATCATTATAAAATTTTTGGGCATCTTCAGGATTTGTGCTGACAAACATTCTTCTATTTTTCTATCAGAATTAGATAAAAAAGTTGACACCTGGTAGACAAAAATACTTAAATAAGCAATGTAGTATATTTTTTTAGAAAAACAAGGATACTTAGATGGTAGTTTGTCTGCCGTTGCTTGGCTCTTTGGACTAAGCAATAATAAATCATTGCTTTCAATGGAAATACTTAGTAAAACTCAGAATTATTTACTATAATAGGTCCAACGTTTTAAAGACTTCCTTCTATAAATTAATTATTTTTGTATGTAAAATGTTTTAATTATTCTAGTTAAAAAAACATTGCAATAAACCCCCAACTATCGTTTGTTATTATTATTATCTTTACAACATTTTGTAGCCTCACGTGTTGGCCAGTAGCCCAACCACGCGATATCGTAATCTGCTGTTCTTAAGTTATATTTAGAGTACCTGGAATCAAAGATTTGTTTAGACAGGTTTATTTACCTTACTTCAGGATTGCCTATTAGTGCGATTGCAAGCGATAGCTGTCGGTGTCAGTGTATTCGAATGCTATTAAGTTTAACTAAACAATTCAGAGCTTATAAATTACAATATTTCACAATAAATCATAGAAAAAATATATAATTTGTACAGTTAAAAAATTAGTACGATAAGAAGGATATTAGAATAATAAGAAAGATAAATATATTAGCTGTGTATGGCGGGTTTGAAGATACCAACAACATGGTGTTCATAATCAACATATCATAATGGTCGGAAGAGTGGTGTTGTAGTTAGGTGAACAGGTCTCAACACCATCAAAAATAAATACAAAATTATTTATACAGACTATGGAGCTCGGATATGCTAATGATGGCGATTTAAATAATAATTATCATATGAAGACCAACATTTAAATATTTAAAATAACAAAATATTATAGCATCAACGTACACCGGTGTAGATTTCAAAAAGCGAGTACAATTAGTATACTATTTTTTAGGTAGCACCAAAGATAAAATAGGGGAAGAGGAAAAGTCGGAGATTTATAAAATACAACGTGATGAATGTGTTGACAGCTGTGTAGTTAAGACATTATTAGATTTAAAGAACACATGAGGAACATAAAAAACCAAAAAGTACACAAATCTCCAGATGCGGAGTATTTAGTGGATACTAATCATAGCATTGTTACCGAAATGGCGAAGTACATATGTACGCTATAGAGTATTCTTTTTGTGGTTAAGAGTTTATTTAAATAGTTTATTTTTTTATTTCTTTCCTCCTTTACTCTTAAAAATAAGAAAAAAAATATTTAATGCAAAATAAAGGAATCGTTAGTTTTCCCCTTAGAGAGAAGCAACTATACGTTCATCCAAAAAATGATAAAGCTAAGAGTTCTTCCAAATGATAACACAAATTTGTATTTTATCAGCGTGACCAACCCCGAAACTAAAAATTATAAAATCACATTCTATCAGTCTGCCAATCCTATCAGAATAAAAGTAACTAAAATATCACTAACGTTTATCAGAATTAACGATTATCTTAGAACCTGGTTCTGGCAAACCGCAAACGGCATAATTCAAACAATAAAAAAATAAACTGTGTTAAAATATTGAAAATATACATTATATTTTCTTAAATAGTACATATTTTTACGATACATTTATAATAACAATAAAACAAATAGTTCATATGACGACAACGATAATTATTGGTAATTAAAATTTACTTTCGTTTCTTAATAAATATTAAATGAATATTTTTATTAGAATTCTCTTTAAATTCATAATTCAAAACTCTTATTTTCACATGATATAAACATGCAATATATATATATATATATATAACATAATATATTAATCAATTATTGTAGTGACTAAGTTCATACGTACACTATGTTGTACTAATTTGTGTGACAATACTATTACATCCTATTTAACAGATATGGTGTTATTTTTTGTATAATTGTTTTAATTACTGAATAATCCGTAATTTATGATGTAGGTACCTAGTAAAGTGGTAAGTGTAGATAAATTTCACCACCTAAGCCGTCAAAAGCAACGTCTCTTATTTAATACTTAAATGTTAAACATAGACCATTTTGTCGAATTTTCCATCATCAGATTATTTGTTATTTATTTATTCGTATGGCTACACACCGTCTTACAACTAAATCTATCGACCTGTCCAGGTGCGGCTATAGTATGTGCAAATATGTCCTGATGGATAATTTTTTTTATTACACAATATTAAATTAGCTGTTATTGATGACGAGATATTATTATCCGATATCGGTCATCCGAACCGCCCAGATGTTGGCGTTCACTTGTTGCGGTGACATAATCGAATGCGGTTTAACGGTCCCGACGAAATAATATTATCATGTCTATTATAATAATGTGCACGACCGCGGCTCTAAAAGAAGAAGTGTCCTCTCCCCTAAAAAATAATCCAAAATCTTCTCTACAACATCTGTTGTGTCGTTTGTTTACACGGTGAGTGAACGGGCCCATGTAATCGCTTAGGATCTCAGCAACAATAAACAACGTTCGATAATAGAATTATAATATTATTATCATCCCGTCTTATATTGACATGGATATGTCTTTTTATTATATCGATACCTTTTGTTTGGGGTCTCGTCTCAAAAATCGTTTACGTCCGAACCTTTTGCGGTTTTACGCATTGTATTGCGGTAAGATAATAACATAATAACAATAATGTCATTGTATACGGTATACCTAATAATAACGTCTTATAATATTGTGGCACTGACACACAAAACAAGTACCTAACCGTAATAGACGCAATATTTGGCACCGTCCCAACTGTCATGATTCGACAAACGTTATTTCACAACTAGTATTGTAATTATTACAATTATTGAAAATATGATAACAATTTGACTAGTCTCTGGGAGTATAGTTTTTTAAGTGACAATTGTTATTAATA